GTACATTGTTGGTCCATGGCTTAACCGACAGCACTGGAGCCCAGCGTCTTCTTCGGCAAATATACGCATTGAAGACTTGGCACTCAAACCAGCCGGCATCTGCCGGAGTGACAAAAAAAAAAAAACGCGTCGGTACGCCTGCACAGACCGCTGGTGATCACTGGGCAGGAGGGCTTAGCATGCGGGGATCTTCTAGCACTGCCAGCTGTCAAGACACCTTTTGATCCCCCTCCCCCGTTCGCCGAGCCATTCACTTTTCGCGTGCCCTGATTTCTGATCTGACCTGACCGAATGAGTGATGACCACAGGAAGTAAGCCTGCGACTCGACGGCCTGTTGGCTGGACAAAAGTCTATCAGGAGTCGCTCTCTCAATACTGTGGTGCACAAATCGCAATCATCGTGTATCGTCGTCACAAAGAATGTTCAGCTTTGAGCTGTCGACGACGGAGAGGTCGTCATTCGCGACCTACGTACCTACGGACAGTTGACTCGCGGAGCTCCTAGGCAAGCCAGGGTCTGTCTACCAGGCGTGACTTTAGCACCTCGTACCCGCGAAGCCCGGGTTTTGTACCGCTGGTCAGCGGTACCTTCAATGGTGGGCACTGTGACTTTGCTGCCCAGTCTTCTCAGGTACCTCATTTCAACACCCTGGACGGTCCCCTGCCTTCCAGGTACCTCGAACGATCCACCTCTACGCTGACTGGAAGCTCCCGTATGATCGTTTGGTGCTATATAAGTAGCTGCTATCGTCTCAACTTCGCTACTAATAAAATAACTATACAAAGTCTCGCCTGCTGTGCACATCTCTCGTCAGCATCATGGCTTACGCGCCTGGACCTGGAACTAGACCGAACGTTGCTTCAGCCCTACCACCAGCCACCAACCATCACCTCTTGGGTGTGGCTAGCGGGATGCTGGGTGAGCGTGGATGCCTCTTACTCTGGATTTCGGCAAGCTGAGAATCCAGCTGATCAACCACGGTGCGCTCCATAACGAGCAGATAGCGAGACACAACATACTGTGACTTAGCATACAACTGTCGACACAGCAGCCTCGCAGCCTGGTAGTCTGAGAGGAGACTGGGCGTCAGCTGATGCTTTTGGCGAAAGTTGGTCGAACGAAGCCTCGTTCCCGCCATCATTTTCATGATCTATGCACTCCATGCGTTGGCAACATGTTGCCCAACATCGTGACAGCAGCGCAAGAATCCGTTTACCACCGCTTGCAAAGGAGTAACTCACGTTCCCTTATCCAGCCTTATCCAGGGGCGGGAAAGTGTCAGGAGCGATCTTTTCGCCCGTTCGGTCAAGCATCGACCGAATGCAACGCTCGCCAGAGGACACGCGTGTCGCATGAGGCAAAGATGTAGGCAGTTCGTCCCGTCAGCGACCTTGGCAACGGAGAAGACGAGGATACCGCCGCCTGTTCTTCAGCAAGTTGACGCTCCCACGAAATTGGCCAGCAGACCTTGTGACGTACCCGAAGCCAAACCTCAGACGCTGGTTCCACGACAGGGGTGTAATTTCATGCGCAGCCTGCGAGTGCGGTCGCAGGGGCGGATGCGAAACCTCAACCCATGAAACCGTGTAAGTCGCAAAGATCTGACGCGAATGGATGGGACGCGTTTGATCGCGGCGCTTCACCACGGATGAATCCTCCTCTTCTTGCTTCTCGGCCCACATTGAACGTACACTTGAGTGCGGGCGCACTCACACTCTCTGCAGGTAGTCTTTTCAAGTTGGCGGCCCTGTTGACGATGACTTCTGCAGATCTACCAAACGCAGATATGAGATGACGGAATTCATGCATCGCCTCTGTAGCGCCCACTCCCTTTTCATGTGAGCCTGTCATTTGTGAGATTACGACGAGAATGCAGCTCAGGCTGACGAGCTTGGCCCTTTTCATCGGTTCTGGTGCACATCGTGTATCGTAATGGGACCACATTTCTATCGAGGAACATGTACAGTCCACTAGGTGATGCTTGCGGCCGTCATGGCGAGCCTCGAGACGCACCGGTGATCCAAACAACTAATCGAAGCTTGAGTGGTTACACAACATCACCAGTGTGGCGAAGAAGCCATCAACACCAAACCAAGCGTGTGGGACTCTTCATAATGCCTCATTTGGAGGTGAGGCTGTGTCTTAGAGGCACCGCAATGGTAGAGAGTTCACTAATGAAGCAACCTTCAGACCCGAAATGGGCCCAGGACGGCCAAGTTGTGTTTTATGCTCGGGCACTATGAGTGCCGGAACCTGTAATTTCGGCAAGGGCGAACCGTTCTTTGTCTCTTTCTCGGGTCCTTTCAGGTCGGGTATTGAGAGACGACAGCGGCGCCTAGATCGGACGAGGGAGATATAGCGCGCCTGTCAAGAGGGTGTGTGAACTAAAGTATGTACAGTAGCGGTGGGTTTCCCCGACTCTGACAGATGCCGATCACGGGCTGCGCCCAAGAGATCCAAGGATGAACAGGCGGAAAGCGATGTGCGCACGCTTGGTGGAAGATCGCTCAAACGCCAACAACTGGGGAGGGGGAAGCGGCCTTGGTATGTACGCGCCCCCGCATCGGTGGTGAACTCGCCGCTCCGGGGCTCTGAGCTTCCTGTCGATCATCCGCTCCGGCATGGTCGAGTACCCCAGGCTGCTCGTTTGGCGAGACCGCAGCAGGGACACAGCTGTCACGAGGTGCATAGTCGATCCTAGGCGGGAGTGTTACGATGGCATGGTAGTGATTAGCTCCGGATGGTGGAGGATCACCAGAGATTGCCATGTGCAAACCATGGGGCGACCACAGTGGTTCGCACGCGTGTAATTCCCTCAGTCAGTGCAACGGATGAGGCACTAGCCGCTGCAGAACGGGAGGACTGACGTGCAAGAGGGCCGGCGAGTGCATGAACTTACAAGAGATCAGTCGCCAGCGGGACAGGAGCTGTCTGGGATGGATTGGCGAGCAGCATGAAAGTACGGACTTGGAGGCAATGTGTAGGTAAGGCTTGCGATGAACCATACCATCTCGACGTGCTGTGGCTGGGGCGATACCATGCTTGTCTGTGGTTGATTGCTGGTGCTGTTGGTTTCCCGACGATCACTGTAATTAGGCCTCCACACGGATCATTCGGACTCGGAAGAGAGGACTCGGAGAAACCGGGCAGTGGGAGATTCGCATCGTGTGCTTTGGCCAGAATGTTGACACTGCGGCGGCGGAAGAATATGCAGGCGAGATAGGCGACGGAGAAAGGAGAAGGGGGAAAAGGGGGGGGAAGGGGGGGGGGCAGAGGGAACAAAGAGGGAAAGCAAGGTGTCCCAACAGCGTAAGGAGGACAGAAAGAAAATCACCGAGATGACCAGTCATGGACGAAATAAACAAAAACTCGCGTTTCCCCGTGGGAGGGGATGCCTCTGCAGCGACAGAGATGTTTCTTCCCAGAGTGATTGAAAGAGGGTCTCTCGTGCAGGCAAACACCAAGGTGAGGTTCAAGGGGACAAGGGTAAAGGCGGGGCAAGGCACCTCACCTCAATGCGGAGGGCTGAGACCAGGCTTGAAATTGCACCAGGTCATTAGCGAGTTTCAAGCCCCCCCGGCTTTTGCCATTTCGGCGCAGGGAAATCTCCTGAATAGCTGGCGAGGCGTTTACTAAATTCGGTGGGCATTTCGGCTTCTGCAGGTGAGCCCTTTGAAAATGGCAATCTTTTTTTGACTGATGGGATAAGAAACCCTTTACGCCAACTTTTGTCGTGAGTCGAAGGTCTAGACTGGGGGCCTGCGT